GTTGGGTAACATTTTACATTTTTAATGGTACTTAAACCCAATAAGGAATATACATTTAGATTTTTAATACTACCCCAACCATGAACTAGGTAACTCTTGGGTTAAAGCACCCCATATGGTGCCCCTTAACGGGACCCTTGACGTACGCCATACAGCCGTCTTAAGGCACCATATATCCATCACTGCCAAGGTACAGCTTGAGTACTCTTAGCCCGGAGCTCGGCTTGAGTCCTTCGCGGCTGGGCCTCACGCGCTTCCACAACCAACCGGGCAGCCAGTACAAGAAGATCGGGGAGGTCCTCTGCGGGTTTTGGAGTTTAGAGTTTAGGTTTAGATGTAGAGTTGAGGATTTCAGGTTTAGATTTTAGGTTCGGGCTCAGGGTTTTAGAGTTCAGGCCTAACGTGGGTCAACATTAGATGTAGAGTCAAGTTTAGGACTTCAGGTTTAGATTTAGGTTTCAGGGTTTAGGGCTCAAATGCTGGTAGGGTTCGAGGCCGGGTGTATGGGGGTTCGGGATTGGGGATTAGGGTTTAGGGTTTAGGGTTTAGGTTTTAGGGTTTAGGGGGTTCGGGATTAGGTGGGGAGGCCCTTGGTGCGTTCACCCTGAATGTCTTCAAGGCTCGGACCACTTTTGTTGGTGGATATTGGGTTGCGGCTGAAGAAGTGGTCCCTAACCCTAAACCCTACTGTTTGACTTGGGCCGGGAGTCGGGAATTGTTGGGGTGGTAGAGCCGTTTTTAGAGTTCAGGACTTCAGTGTCAGTTTCCGTCGTTCGATGCCTCTGGGTGTTCCTTGTAGGAATCATGCCTCCTGTGCATCATCGCATATTCGAGACACTATGTTTATTTGTGGTTGTCGAAGGGCTTATGGGTTTCAGAGTTGAGTACAGGAAGATAGCCGGGAAGGGCCAGGGTCTGTCATGTCATGGTTTTGTTGAAGGATTACAGAAAGCTTGGTGTGTAGGGCTTGTAGAAGCAAGGGCCGGTCTGAGTTTAGGGTTTAGAGGGAGGACTGTTGCATCCGTAGGAAGAACAGCCAACCAGACACGCTTAAACCCATCATAGACCACCGAGAAGCGAAGCTGGACACTCAACGACAATCCTACTGCTGCGGAACCTGCCTTAGGGCACAAGCAGAGGCTGCAGACTGTGTAGGGTACTTTTCGAGTTCCTCAGGTTCCAGGCACAGCTTGAACCATGCACCCTGCCCTAAACCCTAAACCCTAAACCCTAAACCCCTGAAGTCACAACTTGCGCAGGTTGTCTTCTTGAGGCATGGAGAGAGCGAGTGCAATCTCAAGGCCCCTCGGGTTCTGGCCAGGCTTTCGAGGCCTTAGAGGGGCTTTTGCAGTTTCGATGATAGGGTTTAGGGTTTAGGGTTCAGGGTTTAGGGTTTAGGGTTTAGGGTTTAGGGGGGCTCAGGATTCGGGTATTTTGCAGCTGCCCAAAATATTTAGACAGTGCCAGAGCAAGGCTCTCGCTGGGACGACATGAACGAGCATGCAAGACTTCCACAGCCACCTTTGATGTTCTAGCGGCCACTGGTTTTGGGGTTCCAATGTTCGAATGTCAAGACCTGCGGGACGTGAAATGACCAAAGCCATGGAACCATAGCTGTGATCCTGCAACACCGACATCTACATGTATGACTCGACGGTGTTGTGTTTGGATGGTCTCGAAGTGGGGTAGCTACCTGCACTAGTGAGTGTTGGCATTGCGACGCGATGGTGATAATCAAAACCCTAAATACCCCTAAACCCTAAACCCTAATCTCAATCCTAAGTAGTTAGCTGCTCACCGTATCAAAGCAGCATGCCGACGCCGGATAAATACTTCCCTCACCTTCCTCGGGACTATGGTCGGGAGCCGCTTACCAATGTGCTTGACTTACAGAGGTTACAAAAGCCGCTAACGCAAACAACCTCACCTCGTAAAGCCCTATATACGCCCTTAAAAAACACCTTCAATGTGCTGACCCAATCCTTAGGGCTCCATGTATTCAATCAGTACCTACTTTGGGGTCTAAAGTCTGTAAACTGGTACCTACTTTGGGCTACTTGGAGCCCCAGGGCTTCAATGTGCTGACCCAATACCCATAGGCCCCATGGTAGTTCCTTTTTGGGGCTACCTTATAGAGGATTCTAAATATGAGCCCCAAAAAAGGAACTACTATGGGGCCTATGGGTAGCCACAATGTGCTGACCCCATAACCCTAAACCCTAAACCCCTAAACCCTAAACCCCTAAACCCTAAACCCAAAACCCTAAACCCTAAACCCCTAAACCCCTAACACCCCCAATAGCCACAGGAGCAGTTCACCGGCTGGGAGGACTCGGGTATGACGCCGCCGCTTGGACATTTGGAGGTTGTCGGGCTCAAAAATGTGTTTAAGCTTATCTGGTTTATACCCTAAACCCTACTTTAACCCCAAATAACCTACCTTTTTAAGGACTTACATAAAGCAATCATAATAAGGAGCCCTCACAAGTCAGGTTCTTTGGGGTCCCGGTAATCCCTAAACCCCCTATGCCGGGAGTACTTAGATGACTTAGGTCTGGCATTTTCAAGTTAGGTTGACTGCGCAATCGTGAGAGATGTGGGGAACGGTTTAGGGTTTAGGGTTTTTAGGGTTTTTAGGGTTTAGGGTTTAGGGTTTAGGGCAGGTGGTGGAATCAGAAAGAAGTAATAAATCATGCCCCAAGGGCTGTGAATGAACAGCAGCTGTGTCTGGACTACATCAAGCTTCAGGCACCCGGAAACTGCGAAGGGATTCGAAATCCATGCCCCAAGGGTCCATGTGCCCAATTAGTATAACGGTTTAGGGTTTAGGGTTTAGGGTTGAGGGTTTAGGGTTTGGGGGCAATGTATCTACTATTTGGGTACATGGAGACCTTTTGGGACCCCCAACGGGCGCTCCCCCTAACATCGCAGGCGCAGTCTTAGCCCAATCTCCAAACTCTACCTGGACCCTTAAGAACCTGCTTTTTTAGGGCTCCTGATTATGATTTCCTTTTATATAAGTCCTTGAAAAGGTAGGTTCTTTGGGGTCAAGGTAAACCCTATACAAAACCTAAACCCTAAACCCTTTAAGCCCTAAACCCTAAATCCTAAACCCTAATTAGCCTAAACCCTAAACGCCCCACACGCCAGTCCCAAGAAGATGCCTCCCGCAAACCCTTGTGAATCAAGAGAGCGGGGATATCTTTAAAGTTCAGGGTTTCAAAGCCGCCACATAGAGCCTGCAATAAATAAAGCCAGCCGCACAACACCCTAACCCAATCAGAATGAAGGCCGTAAGCTTCTATCAAGATCTACAAGTCTACAAGTATGACATAAGCCCTATGATGCTGGACCTGAAAGTACATAAACCCTGTGCGCACCGTAACCGAACTACCATCATAAACCCAAAGGCTACGACCTTAGGCACAAACGATCCGAACCCCAGCCCCAAAACCCTAAACGTCAAAGCTATTTTATCCCCGAGTCCGCGAACACAAAGCACTCACACACAACCACAACAAACACATCAACACAACCAGTAAAACAACCCTGAACCGATAAAGGAGTCGTAAACCCGAAAGATCACACGAACACGCCCGCCAAGCCTAAAACCCGACAACTGTGAACCTCAACATCCCAAAAACTAACACCTCTAAATCCTCCAGCCCTGTTTGGGCCAGTTTTGCTTTGTTCTTGCTAAGGTCCGGTGCGGGCCTGTGAACGGCTCCATGGGTAAGCCTCCATAGGCTCCTCATGCACACTGTTTGTGTGTGCGTGTGTAATCGTGCTTGTGTCATTGTGTGTTGGTGTGTTTGTTTGCTTGTGTGTGTGTGTGTGTCTGTTTGCGCAGTGGCTTGTTAATTTCGTACTTGCCTTGTTATCTCATAAGGTTCAGGATCAAGTTGAGGGCGTATAGAAATAGGAGTCTTTTGTCATGGATTCATTCATCCGTTACATGCTGTTTGCGCCGTGTTCCAGCTTCAATGGCTTAGGCGCTGGTGTTCGATTGTTTCGCTGTCGTTGTCTCAGCTGTTTCCAATGACTCATTGTAGAGCCCGCAACAAGTTCAGTAGGGTTTGGGAACTATAGTATAGTATTCTCGAAACCCAAAGCCCTAAACCCGAAAAGAAAGGAGCCCGAAAGAATAATGTTGGGCTCCTGTAACAAGTTTCAGCCGACTTGAGCAAGCATCCCAGAACCCCTAAGAATCTTAGAGTCCCTTGAAAGGGTTCTACTTATGAGGGCCCTACAAGGCTACTATAGTGGGTTCTCGAAGTTCTGGATTCTTGGGTTTCGGGGTCAAACGGGCTGGGGCCGGGGCCTAAACCCCCTACACAGATAAGCCAGTTCGGCATGTTTGTGTTCATAAATATCCGGTTCTCAGATGGGTCGAACCTGCCAGAAATTCTTTAGAGTAAGGCTTTTTTGAGGGTTGGGAGCAGGTGGGTGTCTTCTGCCTTCAAGCTTCGGGTTCTGCTATCCGGGTAGTGGCTCGGAGTTGAAATTGCGAGGCCTAGAAAAAGTTCAGGGCATCAGACGTTCAGGTCCTACATTGAGACACCGACTGCCAAGTTTGGCAAAATCCAAAGCACTTTCAAGGTTTAGTCATGGCCGTGCAAAAGACTTTATACTGACTTCCAACGTATTGAAGACCAAGATGAAAATGAGATCGTGGCAGGCGCTCGATTTCTCCCCAAAACATCACCAAACTACAATGAGCACTGTGGTCTCTATAGCTGCAACGGCTTGAGCAGGACCGTGGAACATGATTTTAGCCGAACGTGTACACTGCGCCACAGCGGGAACCGTGCAACTTATGCCATGCTGTTTGGGGGGAGCTTAGGGTTTAGGAGTTTAGGGTGTAGGTTTCTTTTTTAACGGCCCTTTTCCGATCTGCCAGCAGACAGGGTGTAGGGTTTAGGGGCTATTTGGGGAGCTTGGATCTCAGATTTTGGCTGTAGGCTTACGGTGCTACTTGTCGTGCTATGTCCTCCTGCATCTCCCAAAACCTCTGCAATCGAACCTCCAGCGCCCCAGAACCCGATTATAGCCAAACTACCAAAACCCTAAGTTACCCTAAACCCTAAACCCTAAACCCTAAACCCTAAACCCTAAACCCTAAACCCTAAGCCCTAGAACCTTTCTGACCCCCAAACCCTCAGGTCCCCTCATCCCTAATCACAAAGCTCCACCAAGGGTGGCCTCCGGCTGGCATTTGCATGTCATACCTCGGCCGGGATTGGAAAACCTGGCCTGGCAACACTTTTAAGCCTGTAGTTCGAAAACTACGAGATCGTGGATGAAGATTGTGATTACAATGTGGTTACGTTGTTTCTGGGTAAAAGTCGCCTACCGCATTGGGGCCTGGAGCAATAGGAGCCGGCTTCGAGATGGTAATCTAGAGCGCCTTAAGAATCAGAACCCGATATCTCACGCATTCAGCAGCACTGCTGCTTGCGCGTAATGAGACGAGCATCCGAGCTTGAGTCGGTTCTCTGACACGGTTTCTTCTCCTGCTTCGATGTACGAGTATCAGCCTAATAGGACCGTCGGATCTTACCCTCATAGATGCTTCAGCTAAACCCTAAACCCTAAACCCTAAACAAGAACTTCGAGATGCGCAGAGCTCGCTGGCGAGCCCTAGCACCACAAGGCTTACACGCCTTCGACCGAACCAATCCCTCAGCGCCCTCTAAACCCTAAACCCTAAATAGCAGAAGTGAGTGTTAACTCGGAAATTCCGCTAGCTACTATAGCTGGGCACCGTAATGATTCGAAGAGGGCTTGGGGGGGGGAGCGCATGACAGTATAACCATAATACAGAGCCCCAAGGAGGAATTGCGCCGAAAATAGTATGATTGCCAATACTTCAGGCTTCTACGTTACTTACCTCCTACCTCCCACCAGCTTTCGCCTCCCATTATCAACCCCGAAGATGCGCCACTAAAGCCTTAATGCCACAGCAACTCACAGCCTTGACTTTAATAGACTTCAAACCAGCATACACACAAAGGGGTGTCTACCCTAAGCCCCATACCCGAAACTCTAGACTACTTGAAGTAAAACCCTGGAAACTAGAGCCCTGAAGCCCCATAAACCCTAAACCAGCCCAAGGCCATGAATAAACCCAAAACCCTGAATCCCAACTTGCACGGACACGCCACCCACCATACGAGGCCGACTGGGCCATGGGTGCCGAGTCGATCTGAAAGGGTGCTTTAGGGTTACAGTAGCATTTTGGGGGTGAGGGTTTAGGGTTTTGGGCTATCCGAGCCTGTAATTAGTAATACTATCCCCTTCTAGCCCCAATATAACTGTACTAAAACACTACATAATTATTGAGGATGGGACTTGATAGGCCGTGACATTTCGTTTTGGGGCCTTTGCAGTATCTCTTTGACGAATGTTCACTCATGGATGCACCTTTTATCGCCATTCTCCAATAAAGGCCCTCATATGTTTAAGTCTTGAGGTTCTAGAGCGGTTTAGAAAGTAATATGGTTGATGATATAAATCCTGCATTACCTGAAGGACCCTAAACTACAGGAATTATGGTATA